ACAACAAACATTAGATTTTGTTCATCGTGTGTATTGTTACTGGCAGGGGCTTATAACTTGTATTTTGTTGGCCACGTGTCTTGCTGTTTAAGTGCGGAATTCATTCCCCCCCTCTCTCGACCCAAGTTATGACTGATCTTTTCATACCTGTGTTAAATACTTTCTGTATACTGTCAAAGGTGGAATTAGTCTTTATTTGTGAATTTTGAGTTAAGCGGCAGCATATCTTGCAAAATTCATCTTACTTCTAAAATTTCCTCTGAATCAATGGTGCCTAGTAACTGGAAAAAAGACTTAGGGGATTTGCAGAGTTCTATTCACTAGCCCCGTGATGGTAAACCTTTTTGGGCTTGCGTGCCCAAACTGGAAAAAACAACAAAAAAACCCTAGCGGGCGGCATGCCACAGTGGAACCGGAAGTGGCAGGGGCGGAACCGGAAGTGGCGGCAAAAGAGGGAATCACAGCACGGAGCTCCGTGGAGACCCCACTCTGGATCTGCTGCCGAAGCCAGCTGCTCCGGATCAGCCTGCCGAAGCGCCAGCACCACGGCTGCAGCCGCCTTCTCAGGTTTGGCTGCGCAGCGGGGGAGTAGTAGTGATCCGGTGACTTATGGCTCGTGTTCCGGCCGAAAGGGCTCCACTTGACATCTGTGGCACGTGCGCCACAGGTTCGCCATCGCTGCACTAGCCTCTGTCCCTGAATGCAATCAACAGAATAGGAGAAATTATTCAGTTCCTATCCTGTTAAAAAGCAGAGTATCATTTTAGATTTCTGATTCAAGCTTGAACGTGCTTGCCATTTTTTTACGTTCATTTTACAGCCTCTCTGGAGTCCAAAGTTGCAGCCAAATGTAAATCAAATGTTGTGGAGAAACCTCCTTTATCTTCTGTGTCAGTGAAACGGCAGGTTGGCTGTTCAGAAGATTATCTTCTTTCCAAGCTCCCACCAGCTGGCAAGGAAGTACCATTTGTAGTTCCTCAGTTCAAGCTTGCCTACATTCAACCCAGGAACCCTGGAAATCCACACCTTGGGGGAATTCAAGGTAAAGAACTGAAAAACAACAGTATAGAATTAAAGCAATATTTTACTAGATATCTTTAGATGTCTTTGTAAAGATTTGTTTATGCGATGGGGGTGGTGGGATATACTATGTGCTGGGCAAAAAGTAGATCTGTTTTAGAGTTCATAATCATTTGCAGTAGAGTGACAAGGATTTCTGATTTCTAATAGCAGCAACAAAATTACCTTCACCTGCACTAAATTGTAGTCCTGATATGAAAAATGCAGAATAACCAGAAGTGGCTTTTTTCTGCTTGCAGTTCTGATGCTCAGATTTCTGGTTTAAGAAATCTTAAATTCTAAACACAGGCTTGTTGTACGGATCATATTTTTTTGCGGGGGGGAATCAAAGTACTTCCCACATGTCTGAAGTATACTTGACCCTTGCTTTGAGTCATATGCCCTTGCTTTACTCCAGACCTGGATAAAGTGTGGCCCAAGACTAAACACAGGCTTGTTGTACGGATCATATATTCTTGGGAGGGGGGATCAAAGTACTTCCCACATGTCTGAAGTCTACTTGCCCCTTGCTTTGAGTCATATGCCCTTGCTCTACTCCAGACCTGGACAAAGTGTGGCCCAAGAGGCACATACGGCCCATGAGCCACTCCTGTTTGGCCCCGCCGGTTGTCGTAAAGTGTGGCCCAAGAGCCACATATGGCCCGCGAGCCACTCCTGTTTGGCCCGCCGGTTGTCACTCCAGTCCAGTTCAAGCACTTGTTCAAGCCCAAGACAGACTGGAGTTCTCTCATTGAACAAGTTGAACATCAAAACCATTTATAGCTTTTTGTCTAAAGTTGATCAGTTGCTTATCTTTTATTTTTAAGTAAAGTTGGTTCGGCCTCCAAACAGAGTTCAGATTTTTCATTTGGCCCCCTATAGAAATTAATTGCCCACCCTTGCTTTACTCTTTCAGATCAGTAATATATCAGTGTGGGCCTTCATAGACTTCTGTGTTACAAACAGCTCTTACAAATGCAGCCAGTTTACTGTTGTGCACATAACCACTTGTCCCAAAATTAAAGCTCCTAATTGTTGTTGCAATTGGTATAACATCTCCATTATTTGATTATTCTCTGAATGTCTAAGCCAATGAAAACTTAAAGTAAGTTAGAGTGACTATTCTAAAGACATTAAAACACCTGTATTATTTCTATTGCCTAATTTGAATTGGAAGGTTTTTTTTTATTTGATTTATTTGATTTATATCCCGCCCATCTGGTATATTTAAGAAAGAACGTCTTGTTTCAAACAGATATGGTTCCAGTAATAGTGAGCTCTCTTATTCTTTTTTGAAGCTGTTGGCTCTTTTTATTTAGTTACATCCTGCCTGTATAACATAGATGTATACCAAAAGCATTTCAGCCACTGTGGTATCCAGGCATTCTCCTCCTCTGCCACCCCCATTCCTGTCTGGTCAGGGCTGCATGTTTTAAGAGGCAAGCTTTGAAAATCCTGTGTTTACCTAGTAATATTAAAGTTGTATGAGAAGCTCTTATCTATATAGCTGTTCAACGTAGCCAGTTTTGCATTTAAAAGTCATTTGCTGGGCCCACTGTATGAAATGTTGGCATGCCAGTAATTTGTGGCCTTGGCGTATACACCTATGGTATGTTGCTGGAGCACATAGTGAACACCCTTTTAGATGTCGTTGTAGCTGCTTAGTATGCTTACATGAGTAAGTTGTCTTTGGGTGGTAGCAATGATCTAAGACAGTGGTTCTTAACCTTGGGTTACTCAGGTGTTTTTGGACTGCAACTCCCAGAAGCCTTCACCACCAACTGTGCTGGCTGGGGTTTCTGGGAGTTGCAGTTCAAAAACACCTGAGTAACCCAAGGTTAAGAACCACTGATCTAAGATACCCCTTTGACTACATTCTCTCTTTTACGTTCAACGTGATATAGAGCTTTCAATTTAAGCAACAACAACAACAAAAAAACCTCCACTAGTAGTTCTAAGTTAAGTGGTATGATGTACAAACTAGCTTATTCTAACTGTTAAACTTCTCTGAATATCAGTAACTATGCTGAGTAATGTATCTGTATTCATCATCCTTCTTAAAGAACATAATATTGCTTCCTAGCAATACTTAGTGAAAGTATTTATATCAAGGCAGCCTTTTTATATTTATAAAGCTAGTTCCCGACTCAGCTGATAACATTTACATAGACACAATAGCTAGGGAGAACACGTAACTCACTTTCTTGACTGTATGCTGACAGTTTAACTCTTGCTTCACAGGTTCTGCCATAACATCTTTTGGTGACCGGAAAGCAGAACTATCCAGTACATACCAGCAAAGACCTCTCGTTGATGTAGTCTATAATCCATTCTATATGCAGCAACAACTGTCTCGACCTCAGTCTCCAGATTCGACTGGGTACCACTTAGAAAAATCAGACAATAGGAGACTATATGGGTCAGGTAAAAGTAAATTTGCCTCAACACTACACATTCTTATCACTTCTTGTTCTAAGTTTGGGCATGAATAACTTGGTGTCAGAGTCCCTGTTCAGCCACTGAAAGAGAAGTTGTTGGGATTATGTGGTGTTAAAACTGTGTCCATTGAATAACAAAGCAAGAACTGCAAAACACTGTACATGTAAAACTGATACAAATACAACTAGAATGACTGGTTTTGTTTGTTACCAGAACCTTCTTCAGTAGATATATAGGTAGACACTGAACATATGCACATTTATACTTGGTATACTGGTTTTTGTTTTAAATTGTATTTATTATCTGTTTTTCATTTTCTCTTGTATTTAATTAACAATTCTGTGCCATCAAGTTGATTCTGGCACCAGGCGGCCCCCTCCCAGTACTTTACCAGTCCCTCCTTCTGGTGGCACATGTTGGACAGAACATTAGCCTCAAAAGCCGCATAAGCTCTGAGCTATCTCATCTTGCTGTTCTCCTGGAGGGCACAGAAGGATTTGATTTTCGGACTGTTGCTCTGGAACCAGTCACTCCTGCCCACTGAGCTATCACAGCTTTTGTTTGTTGCTTCCTTTAGCTTTTAAAAATCGTATTTATGGTATTGTTGTTTATTTTTATTTATCTTTGTCACATACGTACATAAGCTCTTGCAATAAGACAAATCATAAGCTGAAAGAATAAACCAGAAATAAATATTGGGTAAACATAGAGAATAGAAACCAGTTTTAACATCTATTCCTTCCTCACTTGGCGGTTTTATCTTTAGTGTAGATAAAATGACTGGATTCAAATGAGGAAGTAAAATGAATGTTGATCAGGCCAGTTATACTAAGGCAGAATAAGGCAGCTGCATCACACAGCAGAACAGGAGTCCTATGAAATTAGAGTTCTGCCAAATTCTGCATAGCTTAATGTCCTTTCTGATGAATCCTATGATAAAAACATTCAATTCTGTGTAGAATTGTAATAATCCTGTGTAGTTTTGTTACTTCCCCCTCCCTGTTCCCACTCTTTACAGGTGAATCTTGTACCAGAAAAATGCTCTGTGCAGGACTTACAATTATTTTGAGCAGCTTGGCATTTCCTGCATTAAAAACCTCTGATAAATTCTATGAGATTTCCTATGAGACTTTTTGAGATAGCAATATCTTACAGAGAAATGTGGGAAAAAAATATTTTTCTTGCTTTCTCTCCGAGAGCAAGAGATTACAAGATTCACCTCCTTACTATATGCTGTGACTCAAGTGGATGTAAATTGAATAGTACTCTTCTACTGTACTTAGTTCTGGAATTATTCCGTCCCCATTGTACAGCAATCCCCCCCATGTGTATTTTACTTCAGGCATAGACCAGTGTCCTACTGTCAAGCTAATGAAATTGACAATTACACTAAATGATTAGTAATTTTAGCTTTCACACAAGCCTTTAGTAATTAATAAATACGGATTTTCAAAGGTTCTTTTAACATCCAGTAATATTTGAGTTTTTCCTGTCTGTCATAGGTGAAATGCTGTAGGGTTGCAGTTAAAGGGAAGGTGGAAGAAAAAGAGAACTAAGATTTTCTGGAAAAAGTTAGGATTGATTTTTTTTTTATAGAAAAAAGGACATATAACAGATGCCATAATATTTTATCTGTAAGAACAGCCAGCATTTCCTCAGAAAAGAACTGAAAATAATCTCATGATACAGCCTCCGGGAAGGCATAGCTTGGCTGAAACATGCGACAAAAGAAGGTAGTCTTTTTTTCTGCAGATGTATCCCAGTGGGAAATGAGTGGGAATCAGGCAAAAGAACGTGAAAAACATATATGTGGACCTCATTCACATAATGAAAGGAGTACACAGAACTATGGCAAATTCTAAGCTGCTCTGATTTGCAGTTGATCCTCAGTTGCATACATGAACTTGATATGTTTCTGCCTATCCACAAGATGAGACGCTAGTTTTCACTTGCTTCTGAATTTGGTCTCAAAATTTGGTCTTTGCCAGGCTGTTAATGTAAGCTACTTAGTTCATGCAAAGGCAAAGTCATGATATAAAATAGATAGACAGGCAGACAGACAGACAGACAATTACCTGCTGTGTTCATGGTATTTCAACAAGGTTCCTTACATTTTGCTTTTCAGTTTGTGATTTAAGGAGTAGCACTTTGCCAGGCTCATCATCTCTGAGTCATTCTATGTTTGATCTCACAAGTCCACCTCACCGATATATGCAGGTACATTCTTTTTCTTCTTTGTAAGATTATATTTAATGAATATCCTTCCATGCAAAGAGTACAGGATGACCCTACTTGCAGAGTTTCAAAGAAGCATAAAAGTGTTGTTTTCCTGTGCAGTTTTAGTTGAACACTATGTCTACAATGTCAAACAATGTTAAGAATTAGAGATGGGAGCTTTGTATTCGTATCCCTGAGGATATGAATACAAAATGCAGCACCACAGGTGCTGCAGGGGTCCATTCCATCCCCCAGAACCTGCCCGGTCCACTCACAAGGCTCTGTACAGTGTGCACAGGTCCAACCAGCTCTGTCCCACCTTCCTGCACAGATGAAGAGCTGAGCAGGGAGATTCGGCATCCTGCCTCCTCGCCGGAGTGGTCGGCTGTTCGGAAAGGTGGGGCAGAGCTGAGCAGGCTACTTTCGCGATTGACACAGTGTTGCCGCTGACGGACATATGTGCTGTGTGGAGCCTCGTTAGTGGACCAGGCTGGTTCTGAGGGGAGGGAATGGTGCCACGCTTTGTATTTGCATTCCCAGAAATACAATCTCTATTAGGAATTCTCTCTGACTAATGAATTACAGTTTGAAATTAATGTTCCCTCTTTTTTTATTCTGTTCCATGTGTTCCATGTGTATTTTGTGTGACTTTTCTGCTACAATGTTCACATGTAGAGCCTGCAAAAAGGCAGGAGCCTCCTCTTCAGATTATTTATATGGAGAGAGCAGTGAAGGAGGCAAGGGTAGGTAGGTGCTCAAGAAAGAAAAAAAGAATCTATTTTGATTCATGATGATTTGTGAAAAATCTAAACATTATAACTATTTGAGTGGTTCCATTTATGTAAATGGGAGTTCTGAAGATTCAGAAATCCAAATAGGGGCCTCATATCAAATCAGGCCTTGAAGTGAAATTAAGGATTGGATGGAGATCCTGTGCAGCTGTAGTTCATGTATGCTACAATATATCCTGTAGTTTTCCTTGTTAAGCTAAACAAAGCTACTTCTGTGATTCATGACATTACTGATAACAGAAATAGAAAAGTTACACCTTCCTCTGGGCACGTCCTGAGTTCCTTTCCTCTTTATGCGTCTTTTTGGTTCCAAGGAATTTCCACAAACTGTTGTGGAAATTTCTGGAAGCAACATGGTAAGAAATTGGATGAATATTGTTGTATGCTGCAGCTGTGAAAAACTGCACTCCAGCAGATTCTGCTGCTTGGTTCCCAGAGAATCTGTTCTTCATTGATGTTGATTAATCAGACATTCTTTTTGTGCTTACAGAGATATGACTCAGTCTCCAGTGTTCAAAGCAGCACTTCCTCTAGGAATGACTCACAAGGTAGTAACAGGAGTTTAGGTAATGAATGCTGTTTGCTTGCTTTGTTTTGAATGCATGAAGTTACTGACATGAAAACAAATGTCATTTTATTACCAGAAGTATAGATCATTAAGGGCTGCTTACAGAAGCATTTTTGGAAGGAATTTCTATATCTGCAGAGTTATGACAATTCAGTGTTGAGCGTTAATTTGTTTTTGGGATTGGTTTAGGAACTCCAGAAGCAAATCATCTTTAGACTATCTTCTTAGAGTCCTTCAGCTTGGTATTCTGAGAATTGTAGTTCCAAACAGTAATTTTCTCAAGCTTTATCCAGAATCACCTTGGAGTTTTTTCAAAACAGTGGCCACAATAGTCCCTAAACTATGTTTTCACATTTTTTTTTTGTCAGAGCAATCATTGTGCGTCTCTAATTGCCCCTTTTGAAACTTGTAATAGCTATGAAGACGTTGGGAATATAGAGTATATATTGGCTATTGTGTCAGGCTTAAATTTCCGAAAAATAATATTGTGAAAGAAGAGTGGGGAAACCTTTGATCTTTAAGATTAAGCTGTCTCCTAAAACATGTGTCCTATCAATGCAATGTGCGTATTTGACTGAAGTATAATTTGAGTTAGTAGTTTCCAGCCCAAACACTGAGAAACAAATATGCTTGGTTTAATTTATTTTATGCACTCCTTATTTTTACCTTACTTTCAAATAGGGGTGCTTGTCATTCTAGTCAAATTGAGAATCCACTTAAAAAGGTAGACATAGATCAGAGAATGTACTGAATAGCAATTTGATTTATCCCCATAAAATATAACAACCAGTTCAAATAACATATATTGCATTTACTGGCATCCCCTTCACAAATTGCTTCCTTGTCATGGTGAAGGGGCTTGAGTAATTCAGAGAAGCTATGAGCTATGTCGTGCAGGGACACCCAAGACAGACAGGTCATAGGGGAGAGTTCTGACTAAACGCGATCCACCTGGACAAGAGGGACTTCTTAAATGAACAGTGAAAAGAAATAGAGGAAAATAATAGAAAGGGAAAAACCAGAGACCTGTTCAAGAAAATAGGAGATATTAAACGAACATTTTGTGCAAAGATGGACATGATAAAGGACAAAAATGGTAGGGACCTCACAGAAGCAGAAGACATGAAGAGGAGGTGGCAAGAATACACAGCGAAATTATACCAGGAAGATCTGGATGTCCCGGATAACCCAGATAGTGTGGTTGCTGACCCTGAGCCAGACATCCTGGAGAGCGAAGTCAAGTGGGCCTTAGACAGCATGGCTAACAACAAGGCCAGTGGAGGTGATGGGATTCCAGCTGAACTATTTAAAACATTAAAATATCATACGGTTAAGGTGCTACACTCAATAAGCCAGCAAGTTTTGAAAACTCAGCAGTGGCCAGAGGATTGGAAAAGATCAGTCTACATCCCAATCCCAATCCCAAAGAAAGGCAGTGCCAAAGAATGCTCCAACAACCGTACAAATGCACTCATTTCACATGCTAGCAAAGTTATGCTCAAAATCCTACAAGGTAGGCTTCAGCAGTATATGGACCGAGAACTCCCAGAAGTACAAGCTGGGTTTCAAAGGGGCAGAGGAACTAGAGACGAAATTGCTAACATGTACTGGATTATGGAGAAAGCCAGAGAGTTCCAGAAAAACATCTACTTCTGGTTCATTGACTACACAAAAGCCTTTGACTGTGTGGACCACAACAAACTATGGTAAGTTCTTAAAGAAATGGGAGTGCCTGACTGGAGGAATCCCAAGCCAGAATTAAGATTGCCGGAAGAAATATCATCAACCTCCGATATGCAGATGATACCACTCTAATGGCAGAAAGTGAGGAAGAATTAAATAACCTCTTAATGAGCCTGAAAGAGGAGAGCGGTAAAAATGATCTGAAGCTCAACATCAGAAATACTAAGATCATGGCCACTGGTCCCATCATCTCCTGGGAAATAGAAGGGGAAGATATGGAGGCAGTGACATATTTTACTTTCCAGGGCTCCATGATCACTGCAGATGGAGACAGCAGCCACAAAATTAAAAGACACCTGCTTCTTGGGAGGAAAGCGATGACAAAACCTGACAGCGTCTTAAAAAGCAGAGACATCACCTTGCTGACAAAGGTCTGCATAAAGCTAGGCTTTTTCCTGTAGTGATGTACGGAAGTGAGAGCTGGACCATAAAGAAAGCTAATTGCCGAAGAATTGATACTTTTGAATTGTGGTGCTGGAGGAGACTCTTGAGAGTCCCCTGGGCTGCAAAGAGAACAAACCTATCCGTTCTAAAGGAAATCAACCCTGAGTGCTCACTGGAAGGACAGAGCCTGAAGCTGAGGCTCCAGTACTTTGGCCATCTGATGAGAAGAGAAGACTCCCTGGAAAAGACCCTGATGTTGGGAAAGTGTGAGGGCAAGAGGAGAAGAGGACAACAGAGGATGAGGTGCTTGGACAGTGTCATCGAAGCTACCAACATGAATTTGACCCAACTCCGGGAGGCAGTGGAAGACAGGAGGGCCTGGTGTGCTCTGGTCATAGGGTCACAAAGAGTTGGAACATGACTAAACAACTAAACAACAACAACTACTTGATACTTGCTGTGGATTGAACAGCGCAACATAGGTGACTCTTCCTTTGTGTGAAACAAACCCCAACTCCTACTGTAATTGGAAAGCTTACATGTTGTTAGTAGAAGATACTCAGCAAAGCTGTTTCCTGACATTATAGTTTTCCACACAGAAACAGTCCATTTTGTGGAAACATACTTTGGATATGTACATTAACTACTGCAGCATAATTTGCTACAGTTCATGAACGGCTGTATTGTATGGGCTTTCTAATTGTTTCATTTTGCTCTAAGCATAGACTGTTCAGGCTTTCAAGAGGAGCTGATACTCAATTTGTGTGGAACACAACAGCAAAGGACAAAGTTGGAAGCAGAGTAGCCTAATAAAGGGTTGGAAAGGAACTAAGCAAGATGGACGCCATGTATTGGGAAAAACAGAGGGAACAGATTAGAAAATAATTTGCTTGAGAAAGTCTAGGAATGTTCAACCTGCAGCAAATCAAGGCAGGGCGTGGTCAGATGGGCAGCTGTCCCAGTTTGTTCTTGATTGGGGACAAGCTGGTTTGCTCTGTTTCCCGGTGACCACACTATGTACATGGCCATTGCAAACCAGCCTGCCCCTGTTTGATGCCTACCCTCATTGTTTGTGTCCTTGTCAGAGTCTACTGGTTTTTTGGGTTTGTTTGTTGCTAATGTCTCAGCAATGCTTTTAAAAAAGCTCTTTCGAAGAAATGGAAAACTACCTTTTCCTTCCCCTTCACAGGCAAGTGACAAGGAAGCTTTACATTTCTCAAAATCTTTAAGTGGATTAGGCAGAGCATGAAGAAGAAAGGAGGGGGATATTTTTGTTTGTTTTCTTTTGCTTTAAAAGTAAAGAAGGTTAGTTAAGATCATGATGAACAAGGTAAAGTGGTCAATCATTGCATGTGAATGTAAGGATCACCCCAAATGACACACCATACCTCAAACCAACCTTGTTTAGCATGACCTAGACCTTTCCAGGCTGGGATAACTGGACCATCAAATCACACCCTCACTCTTGGAAACGTGGTGACTAGCTAGGCAAGCATCTCTTTTCTTAATTCAGTAAAGAAGAGATGCTGTCTTGTCTTAGGAGGAAAGAATGAATAAAATTGCTTTGGTTTAGTTTTATTGTCAGCATTATGTAAACAATACATATGCTGTCTGGTGCAATTTGCTGACTTGTAAATACATCCATTCTTAGCATGAACCTTGGGTCCTAACTTTTATTGTCAGCATTATGTAAACAATACAATTTGCTGACTTGTAAATACATCTATTCTTAGCATGAATCTTGGGTCCTAAACCATATTATATATTGTCAGTGGCATTTAGGGTGCCACATGTTCTTGAAAGCATTTTGTTTCCAATTTGTCATTTACAGTACTGTTGAAAGGAAGAATTTAACAGGAGTGAAATTGGTTGACTGTGCCTGTGAGACAGAGAATTTCCCTGTACATCAGGAGTGGAGAAGTGACCCTAAAGATATTGTCCGAGAGCAGTTTCCCACAAATCTTACTATTGGTTATGCTGGCTAAAGCTGGTGAGAGCTGCAGTCCAACAATATTGGAAATCCATGTTACCCACTTCTGCTGTGGATAAAGTGGCAAGTGGGAGGGATTCATTCCTTCAGAACTAAAGCAGAGGATATTAAATTTCTGGCAGATGCCCAGTGCCTGTCGCCATAACGTTTTATTGGCATGGAGAAGCAACAGTGGTGAAGTTGTTTTGTCTCACTGGTGTGGATATTGAAGGCTAAATATTCTGCCAAGGGAAAAAGTTGGCAATTTAGTGTCTTGTTCATATGATTTTGAGAACCCTTCCATGCTTCATTTATATTCTTTGTGGATTTAGTCACAAATAGTTGAAATGTTGACAAAAAGAATTCTTGGTTCAAATGCTTGTATTTCTTTGTCGATGAAAATTACACAATTCCTGGCAATAACAAGTGTGATGAGTTACAGGCAGAAATACAAATGTAATGAGACTGGAAAATTGAACTGAACAATATTTTGTAGTCTTTGAAAAAATTTCTAAAAGATTTGTTGGATTTATCCTCAGATACAGTTACATTATCGGGTGACGAAAGAGAATTTGGAAAGCTTAATGAGACTGATCTTTAAAATAACCCTGGAAAATTGAACTGAACAATATTTTTGTAGTATTTGAAAACATTTCTAAAAGATTTGTTGGATTTATCCTCAGATACAATTACATTATCGGGTGACGAAAGAGAATTTGGAAAGCTTAATGTGACTGATCTTTAAAATAACCCTGGAAAATTGAACTGAACAATATTTTTGTAGTATTTGAAAACATTTCTAAAAGATTTGTTGGATTTATCCTCAGATACAATTACATTATCGGGTGACGAAAGAGAATTTGGAAAGCTTAATGTGAAAGTGTGCTATCTTTCTCCAGTGGAACAGATCTGGATCACCATCCTGCAAGTATGTATGCCTAATGATATCTCAGTAATAGAGTCCACAGTGGGTCTTGAATTGCTGATATAAGGAATGTGAAGCAGTGCTTTAGCTGATGAAGCACAATCCACTTTATTGAAAAGCAGGAACTACTGTGAGACGAGGAAAGAGCCCTCGTCTCACAGTAGTTCCTCCAGAGCCCACAGAGTGCTGTCCTCTGAAGATGACAGCCACAGAGACTGGTGAAATGTTAGGAAGAACAACCTTCAGAACACAGCCAAAGAGCCCGAAAAACCCACAACAACCAAAGAGCCGTTGTTCAGAGGTCAGTAGGTATTATCTTCCTGTTGAATTCGTAACACAGACATGTTGTTCCCACTGTACATTTTCCACCTCTCTATATTGTATGCTCATCAGCCAGCATTCACTCAAGAGTGATCTATTTGATGTTAAATAAAGATCCCAGATTTGCAGAACAGGGGGCGGGGGAGAGAATAAAAACTACAGTATAAATTAAATTGCTATTTTCTATAAAATAAAATTGTGAAAATCTATTCAGTCTGTCATAAGTACTATAAAAGCTTTCAGTGCATTATTCTACCCCAGTTTTTGTGAAATTTTAATTTTATTTTTACCATAAATTTTACAATGTATCCATGAGATCTCCCAAATCCTCTGTGGGTGGGTGGGGGAATCATAACACTGTTGCAGGCGACACAGGAGCTGAACAATTGATGTCTCGTCTCATTCCATCGTGGAAGCTCACACATTCAGTCTCTGGGCCTTTGGTCCAATCCTGGGTCTTCCCAAATCTATGGAAGCGGGTCTGGAAGTAGTTCCACTTGTCCCTCTTTAAGCCATACCTAGCCCTCATTCTCAGTTGATTCTCCCTGACTACATTTGCACATTTTATCACATAGCTTCTGAAGGGCATTAGTAGCTCAGTGGCAGAGCCAGAGATTGGGATTTCAATTCCCCGCTGAGCCTCCTTGAGAGGGGCTGGACTCGATGATCCATAGGGTCCCTTCCAGCTCTGCAGTTAAAAGGTTATTTATTTATTTATTTATTTATTTATTTATTTATTTATTTATTTATTTATTCATTCATTCATTCATTCATTCATTCATTCATTCATTCATTCATTCATTCATTCATTCATTCACTCCTCTTGGTGGCAAAACCACCCAGCCTGGAACATATGCCACTAGCTCCTTTCCTGGGTCAGGATGAGCCAGTTGTCTTCTCATACGTCTTTGGCTAGTAGATAATCCAGCACAGTCCATGGAGCCTGGTGACCAGGGAGATCAACAAAGATGCAGTCCACTTGCCCCAGGAGGTGGTCAAGTTGCAATCCATTTTCAACAGGACCTGCTTGCTGCTTTCCCCATCTCCTCCTAATCTTTTATACCCAAGGATCACCCTCTTCTGAGTCTCATCTCATGCAACATTTTTATGTGTCCCTTATGTGTATTGGGCAGTTCCTCTCCTGGTCCTTCCACCAGAAGCATTGTAACCCAGTCAGGCTCTTCCTCCCTGATCAGCTTCACAGGATGGCAATAACTGAGCATAATTCACTTGCTAATAGGTATGGTGGGAGGTGCAATGGCGTGCCAAAACTTGGGCATCTCAGAAACCATAGTACGTCAATATTTTATCTACATAAACATCATCCACCTGAGACACAACTTTTTTCCAATCACTTACTCTGAGGTTGGCAACTGAGACTGTCTAGATGTTTTAGTCCACAGCATAACCTACTTATTGATTTATTTGTCCTGTATCCCCTTCCTGGGAATCAAGGCATAGACCAAGACAGACAGAAGCAGGGATAAACAAACATATACAGGAGGTTATTATGCAGTAGAAAAAGTTATGATGAAATAACTTAAAATGCAGAAATTACTAGAGTTGTTACTAGAGCTGCAGTGCTTTTTTCCATTCCTGATGTGGTACTGTAAAGCACTTACCTAGCAGTAATATCTGTTGCACTGAACAGGTCTTATTTCTAAATATATAGGCATAGGATTGTATGATTAATTTGCTGTCACAATCATATTCCCCTGTACAATGCCTGCAGTGCTCTGTAACGTGTAGTGGAGCATTTCTAAAGCTGGCACAAAGAAGTATCTAGCAGCAGTGCAGGTGCTTCTGAAAACATTGGGGACATCTCTAGCTTATGGTGTGGCACGCTAGAGACTGCAGGAGCGCCACAAGCAAAGCCTAATACTGTACTACATGTGCAGTGAACAGGATACTGGCACATATATGATAGTGGTGTTAGAGAAAATAACACAGGAAAAGGGCTTTCACCTGAATTATAGTAATGGTTCGTTTATTTCATGCCTGTCAGTTTTGAATGTTCCTGAGTTCTTCATTTCTTCGTCTCTGTGAATGCACACAAATTGGTTGCTCTGTGCATGCAGAGTTAAAGACACATGATTAGTGAGATGTCCCCCGTGGAGCGCATGCTCCGCCCATCCTAGATTCCCCTCAGTTCTTTTTTTCCACCATGTCGTTTAGACGTCTTTTGGAAGAATTGAGCAATGGTCAGTTAGATCTATTCTACTTTAAATTATCTGTCATTCAAATCTATCTCTTTTATTTCCAATCATTGAATCAACATTCCCCTGTAGGTTTGTTCTATTTTTCTGTAGCCATATTTTCATTTCCCATCCCCCCCAGCCATTTTTTCCTTTTCCCCCCTGCTCTTTATGGCCTCACCAGGCTCATTTAAGTGGTGCATTGTGTGTTTGAATAAAATAACTTTAACAGACAGACATGACTGCTGTTTATTTTGCTTGGGTGAACAACATCCCATCCACTCTTGTGTGGTGTGCAAGAGACTAATGAAGCCAGCTCTCAAACTTAGGCTCCAGAGACTCAGATCTTACCTATGGGAGAAGTCTCTTAACCCTCCTGTGGCTTCAATGGAGACAACACAGTCCCCAGAGCCTCCAGTAGAACAGCAAATTTCATCTCAGCCTGCTCCCAGCTCTGTGACCCCTTCTCCACACCCTAAGGAGAAGTCTAACAAAACCAAATCAGTTTCAAAATCGAAGTCGACATCGATGCTGAAGGCTTCGGCTCAAGCATTTGGCTCGAGTGTCTAAAAAGAAAAAAAGACAAAACAACTTCTAAAAAGGCAAAATGGGTCACGTCTATCCACATCGACCCTCCACAACCAAATTTGCTGTCTCCTATCATGGAAGAGTCTTCCAGAGATGCTCCAGGGTCCACATCAGAGAGGGAAGAGCTGCAATTACCATCAGCCCAAGGTCCAGTTTTGACCGGTAGCGTGTCGCCTCATACCAGCCTTTCTATGGCTGACATGCAATCCAGCCAGATCTTGGCCCATTTTAGCCCTTCATCAAGGTGGGCAATTGCAATAGAGCTGTCGGGCTCTGAGTCATTGCACCATTCACCTCGATATGCAAGCATATCTCACCTCCTCGGTACATGCCACCATACTGGGAATATTACTACTATCCCCAATATCCTTGGTATCATTCTCGTGATGAACCGAGGGAGAGATACCATCATTACGATCCTTACTTACTAGAACCTCAGGATCAATTTTATTATGACAAACCAAAACATGTGAGATATACTTTGCCATATCAGCCTCGTTATTCACCATCACCGTCTCCTTCTCTACCACATCAACACTGATCACAGCAGTCTATAGCCACTTATCCTGCAGCTCCGGTTCCAGTTAAACCAACCTTGAAGCGCTCGATTCCGACTGCCCACCGTTCTCAATCTAAACGTTCAAAGCAATCCTCCAAACAATCGCTACAGGTCACCACTACATACACAGGTCCCCATCCCCCAGCTGAACCAGAAAGCGGCCTCTCATACCCTCCCCTTCAACTTCATCTGCAAGACCTTCATTACCAAGACCCAGGGATCTATCACCATCTGTAATATCATCTTCCATCCAGGAACTTGAATCAGAATCTTCACAGGAATCACCAACTAATCTTCCTACACCTACTTCTGATGTTTATGAAAACCACACTCCATCCCCCATCTGAAGACTTTACCTCTTATTCCCAATTGATTTCAAGAATAGCCAAATTACTCCAATTAGACATCGAAGAACCACCACCATCCAAAACTGATTTGATTTTCGATGGCATTAATCAGGAAAAAACTCCACCACTCAGCCTTACTTTCATCTCAGCCATGTTAGAACTGATTAAGGAATCATGGGATAATCCTCCATCTTCTCTGCAAATCTCAAGAAGGACAGAGAATCATTACAAAACACATGGACCTGACACCAGTTTTCTTACAAAGCACCCTACACCCAATTCTATAATAGTGGAGTCTAATCAGTCTAGAACCTGAAACAAATTTTCAGTTGCTCCAACCAACAGGGAAGGCTGAAAGCTCGATATAATCAGCAGGAGAATTTACTTCCTCATATCATTCATTCTGTGAGTCACAAATTACCAAGCGGCAATGGGAGCTTACCAGTGCCAGTTGTGGAATAAGATCCCCCCATACTGGAATCGGCTCCTGAATCTGTCAAATCTGAGGCCATTAACATCCATACTGAGGCCACAACAGTAGCTAAGCAGCAAAGGATCACAGCAAAGGATCACATTGAAATCCTTAGCCACCTCCATAGCTTTACGTCGACATCCATGGCTCAGGTCTACTGGCCTCTCTGACGATGCAAAATCCAGAATAGAAGATCTCCCGTTCGATGGCACTGGACTTTTCAATCAGAAAACCGATTAAGTCGTGGAGAATCTTCACAAGATAAGAAAAACAGCATGATCCTGCTCTGCTCAGCAACCATTCAAATACCAACATCCTCAACATCGTCAGCACCAGTTTTATCAACAGTCCTTTCAACTTCAACCATATCAACGGTTTCAACCTTACCGACAGTATAAACCTCAATCAGCAGACAAATCAATTAAAGGTCCCTCACCTCCGGTATCATCCTCCTTTCGAAACCAACAGCAGTCACAATGACACCAGCCCTTTCGTTGACCTCAGAAAAAGGGTAAGCAATAGCCATGATCTGCAACTACCAGTAACTGACTTTCAACATCGATTCCAGACTAGGTTAAACCCATTTTTTCGTCCTTGGCAAGCTATAACTAATGACCAGTGGGTTCTCTTTATTATCAAATAGGGTTACTTTATAGAGTTTCAATCCTTTCCACCGACTGCAAAAGTTAAATCTACCCTATACTCCATACTTCTTCAAGAAGAAGTCTCTTCACTTCATCTAAAAAGGGCCATAATCACAGTTCCTTCATCTGACCTGCATAATGGTTTCTATACAAGATATTTTACAGTCCCTAAAAAAGAGGGAGCACTCCGTCCCATCTTCGATCTCAGGCACCACAACAAATTCATCGGACCGTGACAATTCAGAATGTTAACTTTAGAAATTATCATTCCTCTGCTTTCGCAGGGAGACTGGTTTGTTGTGATTGACCTCCAGGATGCCTATTTCTACATCTTGATTCACCCGCGTCATCACAAATTTCTGCGGTTCCGGTTCAACGACATCACATACCAATTCTGTTCTCTTCCATTCTGTCTATCCACAGCACCAAGGACCTTCACGAAGTGCATGGCATCAGTTGCTGCAGATCTTCAGTTTCAGGGCATAAACATCTTTCCCTACATAGATGACTGGCTGATAGTCTTGACATCTATCACAACAACGTCAGAGCCACAACCATTACACTCAACACGCTTCAAAGTAAACTTCATAAAATCGTGCCTCGAACCAGTCCAAAAGGTTACTTACAACGGAGCCCTTTTCAACTCCCTACAAGCCAGAGCATTTCTCCCACAAGAAAGAATCACAAAATTAAAGAACGCCATTCAACCCTTCCAACCTCTAGCTTCCATACCGGCCCATCACGTCCAACATCTTCTCAGGCTCATGGCATCTACGACCTCAGTAATTCAACATGCTCGACTCAAAATGAGATCACTCCAGTACTGGTACCTGTCACTATTCAATCCGATGACAGACCATCCATTTATGAGACTGACAGTAACACCGGAATTAGCCCGACAACTCACCTGGTGGACATCTCTGTTGAACCTACTTGTAGCGCGATCCTTCCTGCTCTGCCAGCCAATGGTGCAAGTTACCACTGATGCCAGCCCATCCGGCTGGGGAGCACACTGCCTTCAATACAAGATTCACGGCCTATGGACAAATCAAGAAAAACTGCTACATATCAATCATAAGCTTCTAGCGATTATCAGAGCTTTCCACGCTTTCCTCCCACTCATTAAGGGGCATGTAGTACAGCTCACCACGGACAATACAGTGGGGTCTTGACTTGAGAACTTAATCCGTATTGGAAGGTGGTTCTCAAGTCAAAAAGTCTGTAAGTCAAGTCTGCATTGACCTACAATGCATTGAAAACCGATTAATCCCGTAACAGGCCATTTTTGTTCCATTTTGGTTTTTTTCTGGTCTGTAAGTCAAATCTCAGTCTGCAAGTCAAACCTAAATTTTGCGGCCAGAGAAGTCTGTAACTCAAAAAGTCTATAAATCAAGCCATCTGTAAGTCAAGGGTCCACTGTACCATGGCCCTATACTACGTGAACAAGCAAGGAGGCACCCACTCTTTGTCCCTCCTATATCTCACTATTGAGCTATGGGAATGGTGTTACCAACATCACATTTATTTATTTATTTATTTATTTACAATATTTTTTAGCCGCACCATTGCCAATGGTGGAAAGCATTCCTCACATCTTCCCAATAGCAGTACATATTTCCACAGATGAGAACTATATTGCAGATCATCTCAGCCGTCTAACATTGAGAACACATGAGTTGCCTCTGAACGATTCCATCTTCGATCATCTCTGTCATCGGTGAGGTATGCCCACCATCGACGTCTTTGCTTCAAGAATGAATACCAAGTGCCGCATCTGTTGTTCTTGAGCCGGAGCAGACAACAATTCCATCAGAGACGTGTTCATGATAGACTGGGACAAGGAATTACTCTTCCCACCAGTACCACTTATTCAAAGAACAATCATTCGAATTCAACACTTCCACTCGAACGCGATCCTCCTAGCTCCCTGGTGGCCAAAGCAACCGTGGTTCATTCACCTCAGGTCAATGTCAACGGACTCATTCCGACTCACACTGATTCCCGGCCTTCTGACTCAGGACGGCGGGATGGTCTACCATCCAGACATTCCATCGCTGAATCTGGGATGGTCTACCATCCAGACATTCCATTGCTGAATCTGACAGCTTGGAAGATACACCCACCTTGAAACACGTCCTCGATCGAGCTCAAAAGCCTTCAACCCAACATACGAAAATAAATGGAAAGCATTCCTCACCTTTGTTGAGGCAAATAACTTACCTGTCATACCTGTTTCTTTGAAGACACTACTTACCTTTCTGCTTCACTTGTTTAACTTTGGACTATTTTATTCCACCCTTAAAATCTATATCTCCACCATCGTTGCACATCAGCCGGCTAACTCCAAATCAGCAAAATTTTTGTCTCACCCAACTGTTAAAAAGTTTCTTAAAGGACTCAATAATATTCATCCACCACACCAAGATGTCATCCCTCAATGGTCTTTGCAACTTGTCCTTAATACTCTCATGTGTCGACCTTTTGAACCAATGGCTTCTTCAAATCTCAAGTTGTTATCTTTGAAGACTTCCTTCCTTGTGGCAATAACATCTGCCAAATGAGCCAGTGAACTTGCTTCCCTCCGCTCTGATCCACCCTTCATTCAATTCCATACAGATAAGGTCACATTATATTCTGATGTCTCCTTCCTGCCCAAGATTGTATCAGACTTCCATATTAATTTCCCATCACCATCAACACCTTTTTAGTGCATGCTCCATTCACTAGATGTAAGACACTCTCTTGCCTTTTATATTAACAGGACCAAAGCTTTTAGGAAAACAAATATACTTTTTCTATGCTTCCATGGTCCTCACAAGGGAGCACCAGCCTCCTCACAATCTATTTCCAGATGGATTGTCCAGACCATCTCCTTGGCCTATGAGTTATCAGGCAAATCATCTCCTGATCATCTAATGGCACATTTTACTAGAGTGCTGTCAATGTCTACTGCCTTCCAGCATGGGATTGAAATACCTCACATCTGCTGTGCTGTGACATGGTCTACCCCATTGACCTTTGTCACACATTACCGTCTAGATGTCAGAGCACAGAGTGATGCTGGATTTAGCAGAGCTGTCTTGGCATCCTTCCTACCATGATGTCCCACCATCCAGTAAGTGAACCTTGCTAGTCACCCATTTGTGTGCATTCACAGAGATCACAAAGAAGAAAAGGAGGTTACCTACCTGTAACCATAGTTCTTTGAGTAGTCCTCTGAATTCACACATCCCACCCATCCTCCCCTCTGTCCATCATGGTTTATCTTCTACCCGGTGGACAATTATCAGGAACTGAGGGGAATCTTGGATAGGCAGAGCATGCGCTCCATGGGGGAACGTCCCACTAATCATGTGTCTTTAAGCTCTAGAATCTTCCAAGACATTCAGTGCAGGTGCAGAACATTTGTGTGAATTCACAGAGGACCACTCGAAGAACTATAGTTACAGGTAGGAAACCTCCTTTTTTATTATTCCTGTTGTGTAAGGTCCTTCTAACTGGCAATGACAGAGAGTACACCTGATACTGTAAATAGGGATGTCCTGGTTTGTTTACTGCTGCACCAGGTGTTTGGCAGTTCGGCGCCCCACACCTGCAAGCAGGTGCCTATTTAGAGGCAGCATTCCAGCTTCCCTGCCCCTCCAAGTGCTGCTTATGGGTTCTGTCGCAGCAGTAAATGAACTGGGACAAACCACCAAACTGATGATTTGTGCCCATTTCTAATCATAAACTACTTCATAAACTACTGGATAGTTTATGAACTGTGTGCCTCCATATGCATTATTGGGGACTATAGCCTATGTACTATATAGACTATAGTATATGTGGTCTTCTACTAGTACATTTTAAGAAATATGGTATGACTCTATATTTTGGTAATCTATTAATCTAGCTTCATTCCTTCTGTGCTCTTCTCATGGAGGTGTAGGAATGAGACTATTTCCACAAACGTTTTAGAAACGTCATTGCAAGACGGTGTCTTCAGCAAAACATCTATCTTACTCTTGCTGGAGATAATAATATGGATTACAAAAGCTGACTTCAGTTTGCTTAAGTTTTTATGAGGTCAGAAAACTGCATTCTATAGCAGAAGCACAGATAATACTAGGGTGCTTCCAGATAGGATGTTTATTGTAAAACCACACTGCCTCATTCGTGAACTTTTATGGGGAATCCAGACGATGTCATCTTCCATTTATAACTGTCCTGTTTCTCCAAAACACTTTTCCAGGTTTTTTTTTCTTTTCAGATAAAAGTATTTTGATAGTACCTTCGGAGCTTCTTGTGGTCATAACGCTGAAAATGTAATATGAAAATCAGATTGTTCTGTTGCTGAAAAATAAATTCAGATTTATTTTTAACATTGCAGTGCAAAGATCTGAGCTGGTCATCTAACTTTGGAGAACATGCTTATATTTCTATCAAGGGAATCCTTACACTACCCAAACCAATACAGTTCAGGTGTTCAGCAAAAGAAGCTTCCAATGTAAGTCATATTATAAGAATTCTATAAAGGGAGAACAGCACTTTTTCTGGCCTGAAATGGTGGCCCAGGCCAGCAGTAAAAGACCTGCTCCACCATAGGTTTGCCATAGGTTTGTGAAAGAAAAAGAAGTACATTCTTGGAGTCCCGAATTAAAACAATGGGCAATGAATATTAAGCAGCAGCAAGAAGGGGTTAATGCCAGTGCACTTTCCATCATATGCAGCAGCAGCTAGTGAATAATTTCTTGTTAGCCCTGAGGGGTTACACAGAGCCGGAAGAAACTAGCACTGTGTATAGCCCCCCCCCCCCAACAGCAGTACCAGTAGTTGTATTCTAGAATCCAAATCCCTCCCACCTGCAACAAGATGGCAAGCTTTCTGGAACACTGTCTTCACAAGCATGGAAAGGGCCTATCCTCTAGAGACACCACCCCGGAGGAGGAACATGGCAGAGTAAAAAACAAATGAAAATGTGGGTGTCGCAATCAATAGAAAAATCCTGCCTATTTGTAAAGTGACACTGGCTTTAACAAGGCTGTCTTCAATACTGGATGTGTGTGTGTGTGTGTGTGTTTGTGTGTTTGTGTGGTGTGGTGTGTACATACACATGCATGCACATGTGCACATAAACAGTGTGTGTGTGTGTGTGTGTGGTGTGTACATGCACATGCACATACATGCACATGTGCACACAAACGCATCTTGTTGGTATTAGATTAAATGTTTCATTTTTTCCATTTAATAATTTATTGTCCTCACCTTCCAGGTTATAGAATTCATGGAAACTTTTGTGTTTGCTATCAAATTGCAACTCCTACAGACTGCAAGATTAGTATTCAAAGTGCAAGTTCAGACTCCTAGGAAAAAAACTATAGGAGAGTGCACACTGCCGCTGCGAGATCTCAGCTCACAAGAAACAGACCACAGTTTGACGATAGTATCTCCATCCAAAACTTCAGTAAGTTAATGGGTTCCAGGGAGACTTAGAAGTTATCTGGAAATAATACCATGTGGGACACTTCTGAATACTGGTGAGAATCCTAGACTGGATAGACTCAGAACAGATTCTCACTGGAGAATGGGTATGTGACAGTCTTTACCACTTCCCCTTACCCTCTGCAGCCTATAGTGCCACTATTTTTGTTTCAGGGAATCCCCTGATCCTCCAAAACAGTTTTCGTGAGAAATTAGGCAGTAGGGAAAAAATAGAATCCAAGAATAATGTACCCCCTTGATGTGCAGGAGAAGTCCCCCTATCTAGAGTCCTTTTCAATTGCTAAGGTACAAAAACATTATAACAATTAAGTATTTGCTCTGCATTTCAACTGAAATGAAAATAAGAGATAACAGGTGAGTGAACAAACTTTCATGTGTTCTTCTTATGGGTAGACTCATCCCAGTAGGTTTAATTACATCTTCTTATATGCTACTGGAGGATTATAAAATTATCCCTGTTTATCTCAGAAAGTGCTTAAACTATAACTCTACTAGGCTGTATTATTAAAATTTTTAAAGATTTCTCTGTGTTGCAATAAAAGTGTGTGTCCTATAGTAACAGACGTTGGCCAGAATCTTACTGATGATTTAAACTGCATAACTCTGTTATGCAAATTGCAGATAACTGATCAATGGACAATAGGCATTCACTAAAATAACTAGGTATGTTTAGCTTAACAAAGATTTAAATTTTGAAGTATACAAAAAAGTTTAACTATACAAAGCCAGAAAGACTCCACAGGCTAATGGCCAAGATAACAAACAAGAGTCCTCCAGCACTGCCTTTTGTGCTGATCCCTCCAGGAGTAGTCTGAGCCACTTTAAAACAGTATCTCCAAGTCCCATTCCAGAGAGACAGCTCAGAAGACTACTGTGGTCAGTGGTATCAAATTTAGCTGGGAGCCCCAGCAGAACAATCAGGAATACACTATCCCTGTCCAGTTCCTAGCATGGGCCATCTACCAAGGCAACCAAAGCCATCTTTGCCCAAAGCAAGGCCAGAAGCCAGATTAAAATAGTCTAGAAAATCAATTTTCTCCAAGAATCCTTGGAGGTATTCAGCCTTGAGCCTGCTATTACTGTTAATTTCTATGCATTGTGATTTTCACAAAACATAGGGAATAAACTTGCGCAAATTGTCGACATCAACGGCTGGTTGCTAAGAGCTGAAGGAAAAAACATTATAAAGCTTTAACAAATTGATGGTCTGTATGAAACATGAATCTAGAACAGCTGTGATTAACCAAGGCAATAAACAATTAAAAAACGTGTTCTCAGACATGCTTATGATATGGCATAAAATCCTTTTATTGAGAACTAAAATGTAGGGCGGCGTGCATTTGTAATGAGTCGAAAGGCATTCAAGTGACAGATGGACTTTAATCATGGACTCTTGCCACTTTGTGCTTTTGCACAAGAAAGGCATGTTGATGCTGCATTTGGTAAAATTTGAAGGAAACAGTTTAAAGAGCATTGAAATTAGTTGCAGGAGGCCAAAGAGATTTGTTTTCCTTCTAACAGGAGTCACTTCTTCCACACAGCAAACAACTTTTGAAATGTATAGAAGCTGGAAAAAAACAGCTTGTGAGGGAGGCTTACTCTTTTTATAGCCCATGGGCCTCTCCCTCTGCTCCCATTTTATTAAAAACAGAATCTTGCCTCCAAGAGCTGCAGTTTCCGTCTAAAACAAGGCGTAACCCTATGTCTTGTTTTAGCAAATAAATAAAATGAATGGGTGAGTGAATGAGTACTTTAATGAAAAATTGAGGTGTTTTGGCCACATGAGGCTGCCGTACTGTAGCTTAAGAGGAGTGTGGCGGTGAAAAATGGCCTGTAACCTACAACGTTGCCTAGCTAGGGAAGAGGAGGGTTTAACTTCGTTGCTGTAAGTGCCACTTCTGACCTCAGACAACCCTATGAAATAGTGACCCCCAAAGTCCTATCAGAAGTCCTATCTACATCAGATCTTGTAGACTCAAGGCTATGGCTTCCAAAAGAGTCCAATAGATAAAGTACTGAAAGGAGTATTAAGCGACTAAACTAGCATTTTGATGTGTCAAATTAGAAAGTCATTAATACAGAGAAGCTCTTCGCTTAACATCTGTAGAATAAAGGCTTATGTTTTTGATCTGTGCAAGCTGGTTAAGATACAAATAGAATATGTTTTTTTCTTTCTCATTCTCTGTGCAGGTGTGTTCTGCAGAACTCAAAATAGGCACCTGTTTTCAAGCAGTAAACAGCCGGATCCAGTTGCAAATTCTTGAAGCCCAAAACCTTCCAAGCTCATCCACACCACTGTCTTCAAGTAAGCATTGCATTCCTTTTGTGTATCTTTTTGGGGTAGGTAGAGTAGAATAGTTCAGACATTATCAGTGTTTTGACATAAACGTGATATGTTGATTTTAGTTTTGCGTCTGTGCCGTCATTAATGGCAGTACTTACACATTGTTCAGTTATGTTTTACTTGGTGTGAAGTGATGTATTTTTGTGTTTTTTGGAAAACACACTTAAAATTGAAAAGGATAGGCAAGAAGCAAAAGTAAAAGGTGACAGAAGTAGGGTCAGAATCCAGAATGCAGTTTTTCAGTGATTGCCACATAGAGGCAAAGAAAAATATAATAAGTGCAGAAAAATAGAGAAGAACAACAAAAGAGGAAAAACAAGACAAGAAACCAAAGGGAAATTTAATACTAAATTAGGAATGCTGAATGAGCTATATGGAAGCACACTGTCTGACCAGGAGAAAATAGAGAAGGTGGAAACAGTATACTGAAGACCAGAATAGAAGACTCCTTTGAAAAGGAATCATATGCTGAAGAACCTGCAGTTCTAGAAAATGAAGTGAAAGCTGTTCTGAAAGCACTGGGAAGAAATAAATCATCATAAGTAGATGGGATAACAATAGAATTATTTCAAGCCACTGAAACTGTCAAAATCCTAATAAAAATATATCAGCAAATATGGAAATAAAACAATGGCCCACAGACTGGAAGCATTCAATATACATTCCAACCCCCAAGAAAGGAGATGCTAAATTTGAGTGCCATTCCAACCCCCAAGAAAGGAGATGCCAAATTTGAGTGTAGTAGCTGGAGGACAATTGCACTAATTTCCCATGCAAACAAAGTGATGCTCAAGGTGTTACAAAAAAGGCTTTTACCTAATATAGAACAAGAAGTGCCTGATGTTCAAGCTGGATTCCGAAACGGAAGAGACACTCAAGATTATACTGCAAATATCCACTGATTTCAGAATAAGATTAGTGTCTGCTTGACTACAGCAAAGCTTTTCATTGTGTGGATCATGAGAAACTATGGGTTGTTCTGAAATAAATGGCTGTGCTTAGCACATTGTTGTCCTGATTTGTAACCTGTATTACGAATTCTGGGGGTAGACCCTAGTTCTATTATAACCCATATGGGTGCAATCTGTATCTGTGCACAAAGATACATGCAATCCCACAGGGTGGGATATAAGGCCTCTCTCTGTGACATGTGATAAGGAAAGGGATTGTATTAGTTTTAGTAACTATAAGAAAATGTTCTTACATTTATTGAGTTATAAAACAAAATAAGGTGAAAATTTTTAAAATACTATTTGTGTCTCATTTTTTCTGGTGTAGATTATTTTGTGAAGGCTGTTATGCTTAGCAGTGAAGGACTCGTTAATAAGAAAAAGACCCGACTACTGAAATCCACGAGTGGTCATGTAAAGTGGGGAGAAACTATGATTTTTCCAGTGAGTCAGAATGAGTATGGGATAAACTTTCTCATCAAACTTTATAGCAGGAGCTCAGTAAGAAGAAAACACTGCTTGGGACAGGTTAGTTTATTTCTCCTATCCTTTGGTTAGCATTTTTCAACCAAGTAGCTGTATTAATCTGCTGGCAGGGAAAAAAGGAAGGACAAAATATTTTGGCACTTTAATGACTAACAGATTTGTTTCTCTCTGTGTTTTCATGTTTTCTACTTTTTATGTGTGAAAAAGTGAATCTTTATCCACAGTAGCTCACACTGAACCAAATCTTTAATGTGCCATAATACTTTGTCTCGTCTTTCTTCTTTTTTCCATATAAATTTGCCAACATGGAGGTTAGTTTGTCTTAAAATTAAAAAATAATTAGGTCACAGCTCAGCCATTTTCATGGGTAGTGCAAGGTTTTCCACAACCTGAAGTAGGAAGCTGTTTGTGCCCCTGTCGTATTGTGCAAAGGCTAGAGTCACTGACATGCCATGCAACTTTTTTACTGCACACAAAACCCATAGGAGTACCACACACTGCCTCATCCAGCTTATGCAGCATAAATTTATGTCAGCCAGGTTTCAACTAGAGATAGGCACAAATCAGAAAAATGGAGATTCATTTTTATTTGTGAGTCATCAAGGTTGACAAATAACAAATTTACGGTGTGTGTGTGTGTGTGTTCTGGTGAATTGATGAATTGGTTTTTGCCTAGAGACAACAAAATTACAGAGAAGCTTCCCCTGACTCTCCTCTTCTCCTCTGGTGAAGTTTGGGTTTTGGACATCCAAGTTTTACACCCACAAGTGGGTCCCTCCAGGAAAGTGCCCTTTAGTAGCTGGCTTGGGGAAACCCAATCTTCACCAAACATGGAGGGATTTTAGAGGAGAGTCAGAGGAAGCTTCTCTGAAGTTTTGGTGTCTCTGGGTGCCTGGGAGGTGGGGTTATAGCCCAAAAAATTGACAAATCAAAATTGCTAAAAATTCATTGATTCCTATTCATCAGGGGCATTGATTTGTATGAATATGAACTGACAAATTTTTGCTGAATTTTGTAATGCATTTTTCAATTTGTGCCCATCTCTACTTTCAACCAATAGAAATTATCTGTCAGAAAGAAACCATGAAAGAAACAACTGAAATAAGAGGTCTTAATCTTAACGTGCGAAGGAGCATGGCTATAAAATTCTATACAAGTGTTGATAGAATCTACTTGCAATATTTTTGCCCAATAAATTGTGCCAGGGAGAAACCAGGAAGTTGATAGTGTGTGTGTCATACAGGTTTCTGTTCTACTCGGAGTAGCAAGTAAGGAGTTAAAAAAACACATATAATCCAAGTACAGCATGCATGTGGTGAAGCTTTTGGTAAATGCCATTAGCCAGAAATCTCACTCATCCTGCAGATTAGGGGATGTCTAGCCAACATACTGTCACAGAATTATGGTTTTCTCTCTTGATTTATGTGAACAACAGTGTATTCATTGAATACAATGAAACCCACAGAGAGATTCAATATTTTCCTGAAATTTGTACTGTCCAATTTATTTGTTGTGTTCTTTGTTGACTTGATTTGTAGTGATGAAATATATGTCAGGAATGGCTTTTGCTGTATTTCTTGTTAGAACTCCCTTTCTTCTTCTTCTTCTTCTCATGCAGGTCTGGCTAAGCAGTGAGAGCAGCAGTACTGAAGCTGCTGATCAGTGGCGAGACACACTTGCTAATCCAGAGAAGGTTGTTGTTAAGTGGCATAATGTTTGCCATGCATAATGGTGCCGTGGACAGTACTTTTAGTACTATATGGACTTCAGCAAAGAGGCTTCTGCACTTATTTAAAATAAACAGCTATTTTTTGGGAGAGAAGGAAAATAAATGTTTACATGGATCATATACCATGTCGCTTCTGAACAGTAGAATGAGTAAAAGATCAATTGTGTTGAGGGGGCAAAAGACTAAGTGGAGACTCTTAGCAGTGTCCATGGAATTCAAAGTCTTTGCAAAATTAGTGGCCTGACTATTGACTAGTTTTTATTTTCTGTAACGATTATATATAAAACGTATGTATTTATGCACATCTTAAAAAAAGAAACTGAGACGATTGTATATTTATGCTCATCTTAAAATGAAGTTGTTCTCAAGAACTTCAATCAAACTTTAATTGGAAGGGATTTCCTTTGCAAAGACTTGTTTCCTTGCTTTTTATCAGTTGAAAACTGTGTCTCAGCTACCACCTTGTCTCTGAAACTATTCTATTGATATATTTCTGATTCTGTCATAAGCAGGAGGGATGAGGGTAGTATTTTACAAAACCTTAAAGCTTCTGATTAATTTTGAAGAATGCACACTTGTCATGATGGGTGTTGGATTTTAAGGGAAAGAGAAGGCTGGCATATCAAAAGACCTACCTTGCACAAAATAATCTGGCATTTTCTGCATCTTTTCAAAGCAGAAGTGCCAAGTCACAATTTCCTGCCATATATTTGGATATTAGACTGAGTTCACAGCTGTGAACAGAGATGTTAGGTTAATAGTGAGCCCATTAAGGGGCAGGAGGTTGTACATGTGAGCCTCTTGTTCCAGGCCAAAAGCCAGTAGGGCAAGAATCTGAGCTTTCCTTTGAATCGGAAGACTGCACTGAAGCACTCTTCCTAACCTTGTGCACACCAGGTATATGGGATCCCGTATTCTAGCTCCCCGATTTATAACCATGTTGACTGGAATTATTGGGAGCTGTAGGCCAAAGCTTTATTTAGCCCTTTGAAATGAGAGGAATAAAGCAAAGTGTCTGACACTATAAGAAATGAGTCCACTCCTGCTTTTCAGTGTCTGGAGTTAAATGGGTCAAGAGTTTGTTGTAAATTGTGGATTAGATGCGTAAATAATCTATGGATAGCCAAACTAGCATGTGTATGTTGAGAGATTGCAGTCATTGTGAACTGGAGTCTGAGGGTCCAGTAGCACAGCTACAGTATAACCATGCTTCTGCTCCCACCTGCTTTCCAATTCAGTAGTCTAGAGACAAATCTGCTTTGAGGCAAAACGGCTGCAGTGTGTGCTAGAATTACAACAATAGGATGATCCACACATGAATTTGACGAACAACACTTGAAATGAGTTTCCATGGGAATATTAAATGCATTTTATGCAATTCATTTGAAAGGATCCATAGCCTCCTTAATCAGATTAGACATGTCCACTTTAACTTAGAAAAAAAAATCAGTTTTCTGAAAACCTGCTGTTGTATTCACTTGAATAGAAGATTTGATCTAGTGCTAATCCTTGTGCTGGCATTGCCATGGATATTGTTTCTGTTTCTAAGTAACAACTAAGATACATAGGCACAGATACAAGCCACTTAAAATATGTTACAGCCAGAACTATTGCACTTTACTTGCACCATCTATCATTTTTATAGATTCTTAAAATTTCAGAAGTTCTGTTTGTAATACTGACAGAGTCTGTGGAGAGAACATGTCCATATTCCTGGGAAGATCAGCTAATGTACAAATAGTCACTGAATCCCCCAAATAAGAATAAATAAGTTGATTTTGTGCAGTTTGGGCACTCAGGCTCAAAAAGGTTCGCCATCATTGTGCTAGGGCCTTATAGTCTACATATAAAGTATGTTTTCCACTATTGAGCTACAATTCCTCCCCAAGCCTACAACATGCTGTATAGCTTCCAGACTAAGCACATACTCAAATGATGCATAATGCATTGGGCACCACTCAGACAGAATGGCTTCATTAACAATGCTACAGGGTAAAGTAGATGGTGAATTAGCATAAATTTCCCCAATATGATTTCAGTACAATGCCCAAAGGAAATTTGGGAGTTGAGGGAGAAAGGAAACAGCCACCAACACACTATGTGCACCTTGGTGGAAGTGAGCCTAAGCACAGTAGCATTTATGAATTTGGTTTGCATTATACATGGCCACCTGCTGGATCTCAAAAGGGATTTTGGAAGCCTTTGATACAGCCCTTCCACAAATAGTATTAATTCCCTTTATTACTAACGGCTCTTTGGCCATGTTCTGAAGGTTGTTCTTCCTAATGTTTTGCCAGTCTCTGTGGCCAGCATCTTCAGAGGACAGTATATTATAAGTAATAGATTATGATTCTACGATATTATGTTTCTGAATCCACTATTCAAAATGCCAGTAAAAGCCCAATATTGTGCCTATGTTGCCAGCTGGAAAAAGGATGCCAGGTTTTACATAGCAAAGGACAATCTGGATGCTGGCAACATCATGGCGGCAACATCATGGCAGCAGTCAAAGTGGTCTCAGGATACTCTCTTGTGCTCACTACCATTTGCAAAGAGACATCAAGCAAGGAAAAATCTGAGAAGCTGACTACATTTTTCATCAATTAACCACTTGTGACGTCATGGTACATAACATCTCTGTATGGTTTTTTTTAAAGAATCAGTTGTATAGTAACAAGTAAAATGGTTGAGTCTATGCCAGAATATAGGCACTAAGGCTCTGCTTACATTGAGTAAACTCAAAAACCCTTTTGCCCAAATTTCCCCTTATTGGCGCAGAGCAGACTGATTGGTGCACCTATGCCATATTTGGTACTTATCTATAGCCCAGTTTCAAAGTTATAATTTTTTGTGAAGGCTGCCCTTTTTTAGATTTGCCTTGTACAATGTTGATTTGCTCTACCAGGAAAAGATTACTCCATTACTTCCTTTGAATTGATAAATTCACACTTGGGCAGTAATAATGAATGTATGAAGTTAGATGTATGTGTCTAGCAGATGTTTTGATTTGGTAAATGTATCCCGTCAGCATTCTCTCAGTTTTTAAATGTTTCAGGGGGGATCATTTTGTAACAAGAGAACCACACACACTGATATATCTATCTACTGATGCATGGCAGGAAAGATATGGCATGACATGTCAATTTTAAATGAATTTCAGATATCAGTTCATGCCTTAGGACTGGACATTCTGAGAGCACTGTTCAGGTCATTCTTTAACTAATTGTTGCCTATACAGCTGAATCAACAAAATAAAAAATAACAGTACATTTGCTTGTTTTCTTTCTATACATACACATTTTAGTAAGTTGCCGAAAATACAAGGCACAGAGCATTTCAGGGAGTTATCAAATGATGCCTTATTTATATACCATTCTGTCAATGTGATGTTTCAAGAAAGTTTCATCAGTTGTGCATTTTATGAACTGCAATGTATTGCTACCTATACTGATAATGTCTAATTATTTTCTTTATTCTTATCAGAGCATTGCATAATTTAAAATTGTGGACAGATAGGAAATATAAGTAAAAATTTTAAAATATGCATATATTAGTTTAAATTATTATATGAAAATATAATGAAAAAATGTACTGCTTTCTGTGAATTATTTCATGCTTTTTCGGTGTTCCTTTTCCTCCTTTTTGTAATGAAGCAATGGCCAACCTATGGAGAATGCTTGCATGAGTGTATTTATTTATTTATTTATTTATTTATTTGATTTATACCCCGCCTATCTGGCTCACCGGGCATGATAGTACACAGGCATGATAATTTGAGATCATCCTACTTTGGCTTCATCATAAGGAAACCTAAGATTGCTAGTTTGGAGAGGTCAAATTTCTGAATTTTACCTCATGTTAGAATTCTCTGTAGTAGTTCATTGGGTTGCAGGGCTCAAGTTAAAGGAAGCCAGATTTTAGTTGAATATCAGAGAAAAAAAAACTTCCTAACTGTTAGAGCAGTACGACAATAGAACCCATGACATTGGGAGGTGGTGAGCGCTCCAAGGCTGGAGGCATTCAAGGGAAAACTGGACCACCATTTGTCAGATCTGCTTTGATTTGAATTCTTTGCATTGAACAGGAGGTTGGATTTGATGGCCTTTTAAGCCCCTTCCAAACTCGTTATTCTATGATTCTGTGACTCCTACCATTTAAATGATTTCTCCTGCAGGCACATTTCAAAAATCCGCAGTGCAAAAACCTTGGTCAGGAATTCCTCCTCATAAAGAAGATTGTGGCAAAGCAAGAATCTCTTCCTACACAGTGTCCCAATGAGAACTATGAAATTAATGAAAAAACAGGAGGGTTTTTTTTTCCTCCTAAACCTAACTGTTCACCTTTGACAATCGGCAAGGCTCTGGGAGCAAAAGGCTAGCAGCCAAAAGAATTACTTTTAAAGCTGACCGCTCAGGAGTAGCACTCCAGCATCCTGTCTTGAACATCTGGATTCTACATGGCCATTAAAGGATTTTATTTTTCTAACAGTTCTGAGAATTTTGTTAAAAGCAAGGAAGGAAGTAGGCAGCTTCCTTTCCAATGCCATCGGCAAAGGACACAAAGCCACAGTAAACAACCACAGATGACATTCATTTGGTGGGCATGAAACCCGTGTTAGAATATAGACGGAACAGCCGACGTCAGAAAACTGAGTTCTTAGAAAAACCAACATAAAAATTACGTATGAACAAAAACAGATAAACATGAGCTCAAATGATCATTACAGACGAGAACCCACGCCGTTCCTAACGTTTTGAAGAGATCCAGTTTTTAAGTCCACAACAAATTGATGTAACACAGTGGGGCTCTTTGTCAGTTCTTTGTTTTTCTATTAAGACGTGCATCCCTCCGCCTCTCAGCAACATTTTGAAGAATTTCTCTTTCCTTTACTGTCACAAATCCATGGATTCCATTATCTCCTCCCAAGAATCCCAGACAACCTTGCCTTCCCCACTACAGAATTCACTGCTCCTATCGCAAAGCTTGCCTTTATTCTCCCTTCCTCCAGTCCTTTTCTTTCAATTAATTAATTATTTTAATTTTAATTAATTAAATGCCCATCTAAACCAAAGGTATACTCTATGTGGCATTACAAATTTTTAAAAACAGTGAAACCAATAAACATATACAGTAGTGCCTCGCTTAGCGAGCACCCCGTTTAATGACGAAATCGCATTGCGATTAACTTTTTGATTGCCTTTGTGATTGCTTTGCGATGTTCCCTATGGGGAAAAATCGCCCTCCAGTCTACCCTGGTGTTGGACGGCATAACCGGGCGGACAGATGAGTGCTAGGGGTGGACCCCCCTCTCCGACGATCCATGTTTCGGTTATGCATGCCAGGTCTGCATCCTCCTCCAGGATAAGGTCGTGGATTACCTGGACCTTGTTGGATACAGACCTGGCATTCAACACCAGGCGTAGGGTGGAAGGTTGGCTGGTCTGGCTACCTCGATCCTGAGGGCTGGTCACAGTCTCAGAACAATGAACAGCCTTCAGACATCTGTTCATCATTCTACTTACACGAGTGGGGACTGTGCCAACGCCACATCGCCCTCTACCCGTGACCACGGAGATATTTTGGGGCCCCTCGCTGGGGGGGGCAGACCTTCCATTCCATATCAGGGAAGGGAAAGGGTGGGAAAGGAAGGAAAGGGAAAGGAAAGTGAAGAAAAGGAAGAAAGAGAAAAAATTATAATAAGCCAAAAAGTAACTTAGAACTAACAAATCAAGTAACAATAAAAAAGAGAAAAATTATAAAATGAGCAAACTTAACTCAAATACAATTAATGGTAATAACAAAATAAGAATTAAAAAATATAATAACAATAATAAAAATAAACAATAATAAAAATAAAAAAGGAATCTAATTAGAAAATCACCACATTAATTATCCCCCACACATAGCCCAGAGTTGTCTTTCGCCGCCGCGTGGGCTTATTTTTGCTGTTGTAGGTGAGCTTAGTGATGCTAATGGCCGCGCTGGTATACAGTTTTCCTTAAAGGGCCAGGAAGAGTGAGTGAAGAGTGAGTATCCAGAAGTATCCAGAAGAGTGAGTGAAATAATGCATTCCTGCCTAAGTGTATAAATGGGTTAACGTCCCTCTTAGTGTGTGAGAGCGAGCGATAAAGTCCAGGTGTGAGTGAATATTTCCCCATACATCCATTTGTGACTATGTATGAGTGCTCACTTCTGTCCCTGGTTCCAGAGTCACCCAGCACTCATTGCCCTGAGCTTTGCCCCACAGTGGGCACCAGCTGCCTTGCTTCCAGTCATAATGTAAGAAAAAAGTTACTGAGTCACAAATGTTTATCCTGCTTCCCAAATTGATAGTAATAGGCCTAGAGATAGGTATCTGTGCCTGTTTACTTTTATTGAAAAAAGTTAAACCGAGTTAAGTTTTTTTCTTCCCCTGAGCTTCCTGCTGCCAGTCTAAGGCTTTCTAAGCAATGAAGAATTCCAAGTTGTTATGTAACACACCAGGCCCAGTGCCAGCATTTTGTTTAAGAAGGATGTGAAAGGAATTGCCCAACACGCTGGTGATGCCAAATATTAACAGTGATGTCATGCACACACCTGTCTGATGAATAATCCCGGATGCACACACAGAGCTTCAGTACACTGAAGACCTTTTTATTAGTTGTCTGTAAAGCCTTGGATTACTATTATGTTAACAGTCAATTTATGCATTCAGAACAACAGTGTTGGTTTGTTTCAGTTGCTAACTGATTCACGGAGAGTGAAGATGAAACAGAAAATAGGGTGGGTCAGAATAGAATAGAGTATGAAGAACCAGTGTGGCGTAGTGGATAGAGTGAAGGATTACAACTCAGGTGATCTGAGTTCAAATCCCCCCTCAGTTACGAAAACCCATTGGAGAGTTGCACTGGCGAAACCATTCCTTAAATATTTCACATATATTGAAAACTATTAGGGTCACAACAACTCAGGTGCAGCTTGGCAGCACCGGAGAACAAGAACACTGGGGAAAGTTGTTGTTGATTTTAACATGAGCACTCCTTTACCCTGCAGCCATTTGTTACTTGTGAGAACAGATGCACCTTTCAGTTATATTTCTTTCATTGAAATTCAGGAAATTCAAGTTTATTGCGGCTCATTTTTAAAGACGTATTTGGTAAGTTCTTATCAGAAAACATATTTTTTTGCAAATACTTATAAAAAATGGAATTAATCCATTCTTTTCCATCCCTAATTGTAGGTTCCATTTTTGCACCTTGTAGTGAAACTTGTCTTACAGTGGAAGACAGGAAAAGAGTATGGTATTTCTGAAATCTTGAGCGATTCTTCAGAGTTACAGAAACATAGGTGGTGGGGTTAATTATATTTAGGTGCTAATGTTTTTTAAAATAAAGGATCCAACAAAGTTGAATGTTTGTTTCGGCTTTAATACCACCCCTCTGGCTGCCAAGGCCACGCTGGTGATTTACAACATTATAACATAATAAACAGCAATTTAAAAACAGTAAAAAGCTATAAAATCAAAACATATGCAAGAAAAGTTAAAATTAACTAAAAAGAATTTAAAATTGTTTAAAGACAAAGTGGCAGAACTGATAATATAAACACTCACACAACCACTATGTTTCTTATAAGGTTTAGGAAGGCCTGTCTGAAAAGCCATACTTTCAGTAATCATTTAACAATTCCCAGTAAAAGGTGATTTTTGGCCAGGAGATTATTCCAAAGATGCTGAGCAACCATTGAGAAGGCCCCGGTTTTTGTTTGTTTTTGTTTTTTTGGTTGCCTCTTTCCGGCCTCTTTCGGGGTCAGTATTCTCAACTACCTGTCCTGGAAAGATTGTGTGGGATGGGCAGACCTCATTGGAAGGAGGTGTTCTCTCAGATATCGAGGTCTCAAACCATTTAGGGCTTTGTATGTCAGCATCATCACCCTTAAGCTAGCACAGAAACTAACAGGTAACCAGTGCAGGGCAGCCAGAGTAGAGGAGGTATGATGTATTTCTTCACACCACACAGTAGCAGAGTGTTTGTGATGACCAGCTTATTCTCTTGACAAAACTCTATTAGCCTCTATTAGAGTGCATTACAATAGTCTAATTTCAAGACTACCAATGCATGGCCAGCATGATGAGGGACCTGGTGTCAAGGTAGGGACACAGCTGGGCAATCTGCCTCTGGTGGAGATAGGTGGAACAGACCACAGATGCTATCTATGATTCCACTGACATTGCTGGGTCCAGATGTTTGCCCAGGCTGTGAACCTCATCCTCAGTGGAGAGAGTCGCGCCCAGGCTGTGAACCTCATCCTCAGTGGACAGAATCGCCCCCCCCAAAAAAGAGAGGGAGGTCCACAGATTCCAGGAGTACACATCTGCAGGACTTCAGATTGTCCAGGTTCAGTCTCAGTCTATTATCCTTCATTCATCCCAGCACAGTGTTGAGGCAGTGCACAAGAGACAGGTTTGCAACCTCTGCAGAAGGATAGAAGGAGAGATAGAGCTGGGTGTTATCCGCATATTGTTGACATGAAGCTGCAAAACCCCTGATGACCTCCCCCAGTGGCCTCATACAGATATTGAACAGCATTGGGGAGATGGTTGACCCCTGTGGGACTCTACAATTAAGAGTCCAAGGGATGGACATCATCTCCCCAAGCTGTTCTCTCTGAGGACAGTTCTCTAGGAAGGACTGGAGCCAGGCCACCAATCTGAAGGCCTCCCCCAGGAGGATACTGTGATTCATGGTGCCGAAGGCCTCTGAGAGATCAAAGAGGACCAGCAAGGACATTTTGCCTTAGTTGGTCTCCCTCAAAAGGTCATCTTGCAGGGTGACCAATTTTGTCTCCATGCCATGCTGCAACCTGAACCTGGCTTGGAATAGATCTAGGGCATTGGTCTTCTCCAGGAGTGCCTGTAACTGTAGCTACCATCCTCTCCACTAGCTTGATTAGAAAGGGCACATTGGCGAAGGGTTTGTAGTTGGCAATACTGTCCACTGCCAAGTTATTGTGGTTTTTTTTAAACAAATGGGCCTAATTAGCTTCTTGAGGGAGACACTCATTAGGACATATCCATTAATAATAGCAGTGGCCAATTCCATTGTTACCGGCCTTGTAGTTTTTATGAGCCAGGCTGGGCAAGGATCTAGGGAGGGTGTGATGGCTCTGCAGCAATCAAGAACCCTGTCAACCTCTATTGGCTGAAATGGTGTTAAACTCACTGGACAAGGTTCAACCTCTACTGATGTCACAGGCTGAAATGGTATTAAACTCACTGGACAAGGAAGTTCAGTGGACATCTTGGCTTGATCTACTGAAGAAAAATGGTAGTCAAGGCCTCATTGAATGGCCTCCACTTTATGTTTAAACAATGCCACAAATTATACACATGAAATTGGTCACTTGAAGGTCTGTCACTGTGACCAATCCCAGATAAATTGTGTACTATATGAAATAGTTTGGCATGATGGTCTTGCACTTCACTTATCCAGGTAGCAAAGTATGTCTCTTGATGTATTCGCAAAGGCTTTCACGGCCGGGATCTAATGGTTATTGTGGGTGGTTTTTCGGGCTCTTTGGCCGTGTTCTGAAGGTTGTTCTTCCTGACGTTTCACCAGTCTCTGTGGCCGGCATCTTCAGAGGACAGCAACCTGTGCTCTGGATGCTGTCCTCTGAAGATGCAAGCCACAGAGACTGGCAAAACGTTAGGAAGAACAACCTTCAGAACATGGCCAAAGAGCCCGAAAAACCCACAACAACCATTATGTCTCTTGATCTTCAGAAGACACATGGTGTTAAACATACTTCAATATATTTTGTGGGGTGGGGAGAAATTTTTGGGTAGAGTAAGAATTGACCTAAATGAGCACTTCATAATATCCTTGCGAAATGATTAAAGTTAATGGATGTTGTAAGGTTTTAAGGCAGGGGCAATGAACTTCTTTCAGCTTGAGAGCCAAATTCAGTCTTGGACACCTTCATAGAAGCTGCATTCCAGCAGCTGAAATGGACAAGACTAGAGTCAGGAGGAAAAAAAACAAGCAGCATAATTTTACTCAAAGCTCTTAAGTGCCACTAGTTAAAACAGGAGATATACTTCAGCCTTCTACAACAGGGGCAGTGTGTGTGTGCTTGACCCAAATAAACACTGGGAAAACACCAGGTAATGCTGTCATGGAAAAGTGAGTGTGGCTTTCCAAGGAATCCCATAAATTCTGACAGGAACCCAGGAGGGCCCCAAAGTTTGAGGTACTCATCACTTGTTTTAAGGCCTCTTTGAAGGCTAGGCCAGCAAGAAGGTAAAAGAACTTGGAATATTATGTTTTTGAAAGGAATCATTGCATTACACATTCCTTCCCAGTTGCCCAAATTGCTATAATTGTTGTTGCTTCAATTGCATAAATAATTTATTGCACTGAACATTATTAATACTGTACAGCAGTGGTCCCCAAACCTGGGCCTCCAGATGTTCTTAGACTTCAAGTCCCAGAAATCCTGGCCAGCAGAGATAGTCGTGAAGGCTTCTGGGAGTTGTAGTCCAAGAACATCTGGAGGCCAAAGGTTGAGGACCACTGCTGTACAGTATATTGTATTTTCATATGAACAGGACAGAAAATGCAAAAAACACTTCCTGATTCCCTCTAGTGGCCAATTCTGGTATTTTGAATTATATAAAAAAAACAGAGGACAAAACAGAAAGCTTTCCCTGTGACAGGATTGATTAGGAAGGAACAAAACATGGAAAATTCTTGTCAAAGTGCTTGTTGAAATACCCATAAAAATACATTTGGAAATAATGACTTATTAGTACACCTAAAATAACTTTTTAATTACATATTGCTGTATACTACAGCACTATAGGGCAACTGTGATATAGGCTAGTGAGATTCAAAAGTACAGTAAATATGTCCCAGAAATTAGTTCACCATGCCAGCAGGAAGGCATGGGATTGTGAATGCTTTTGCTACAACCTTCCAGATCATAGTTCTGTTCACTAGCTTCAGTTTTTCTATCGGTAAATAAAGAGGCCTCAACAATTAATAGCAAATTGCACCATATAATCCATATGCAATCCAAAACAATATTTTTCTAACTTTCAACCAAATAAAGAGGACAGAAATAAATTACTTCAGTATTCAACCCTGTTTCCCCGAAAATAAGACCTAAACTAAAAATAAGCCCTAGTATGATTTTTCAGGATGCTCGTAATATAAGCCCTATCCCAAAAATAAGCCCCAGTTAACCCTTCCCTCCACCATTGTGCAGCAACCAGAAGATGACATGACTGTATTTGAATACATGTAGATTGTTGTACATGAAAAAAAAATTAAACATCCCCTGAAAATAAGCCCTAATGTCTTTTTGGAGCAAAAATTAATATAAGACCCTGTCTTATTTTCGGGGAAACAGAGCACCAAGCTAGGAAGTATTTGTTAATGTTCCTTTAGCTACCAACCCTTTAAAAAAATCCATCTTTTGTATAGTCCTTTTTCTTTCAGTATTTCTTGAGCATGAGATTGACCCAAGATCTCTTTAAGCACATTGAAACTAGCTTTCTACAGAGTACATTACACTAACACTTAGTCCAGAGCACATTGCACTATTTTCACCTGTCTTAGGTCAACCTGAGAGACTGGGATTTCCCCCAAATCAACCAGTGAAAAGGAATTTGAAACCAAGTCTCCTGAGTTCTGCTCTGACACTTCTGGACACAGTACTACACTGGGTGTGATTTTCACATCAATGCCAGAGGGAAGAGAGCTTGTTCTTCATGTATTTGTTGAACTACAGTTTGCCATACAAAGCAATATCACCCTCTATATGCCACTACCATTTCACATTTGTGCACGGCACACAACTCCAACAGCAGAGCAACTGTGGAAAAGCATACAGAGAACAGATTGTTGATGTACTGGTTGTGTCAGTGCGATAGGGGAGGACCTCGGTTACAGATCAGGGTATTGCTTTGGAAAGGGTTGCTCCTGCCATATATATTTTCTGCAGCATTTATGATACATGGCATATTCATCTGTTGGGTGGGGTGAAAATCTTCCAACTGTCACAGTGCGGAATCCAAGGAGGTGAACAGTTGACCAGTCATTTTCGAAGTGCACAAAATGGCCCAGCAAGAGTGGGTATAAAACTAGGCAAGAAAGGCCCTGAGCTAGACAGGTGAACCTTGCTATTTTCTAGAGTGAATAAACCCAATTCCTTTAAAAGGGGGGCGGAGGAGAAACGAGCACAGATAAGGGGGCAGAAATTGCACTACAGGATTTCAGATAATGTGATTGAGCTGAATATTATATGTACTGTGCTGTCTGTGTTATAAAAATATACCCACAATAATCGTTAGCTCACATTCTATCCTAAAACATGAGGCAGTATTTCTAAGGAAACAGGAGGGTGATATCTAGTAATTAAAACAAAGCACAGCAACAAGCAAAATTTCTAATCTTCCATTCTATCGGTCTATATAGAATACTATCTTCGTTTTCCACCCGTAGGAGGAAAGGGCTGTATTGCAGTGACAAGAAGCATTTCACCAGCTTCAATATAGCTATTTTGTTTCATTTGTATTTTGGAGGGGAGGTAAAATCATTGGGGAAGAGAGAGTATCAAGCCAGCTACTATTCTATCATCAGCAGAAAGCCTTGTTCTGAGGTGATTACAGTACTGTACTTGGGGAAATTCAAAATGGCTGCCTCTTTTAAAACGACTGCTACAATTACCACCACAACTCCTCAGTGGAGGTTATAATGGCAGTGAACAGAAGTACTGTATGAGATTGGTTTAAAAACAAACAAAAAAAATCCATGTGTTTTTATAGAGTGTACTGTTCTTGAGCATCTCACTTTATCTAAGAGGTACTCTTATTTTTAAACCTACATTAAAATGGCTTGCCATTTTTGTTTGGTATCTGATCTGGTATTACCTATCTAATCCTATCTCAGCAAAATGATTATGAAAAATTAGGTGTGAGGAGAGGCCATTTCTTGAACTATTTATTTCACTTACTGGAATTACTGGGTTTTTTAATTACTGAGTTTTGGATTGTATCACTGTTAATTCCCAGACAATTAATGTAAGACATTAAAAAAATGGGGAAATTAGAGTGAGTTCGGTCACAGTGGATAGGATTATGTTATTAGAAAAGCATGTACCCTTTTCCACAGTCGTACCACCTTCTTGTTGGAAAAGGCGGGGTTTCCACTCCCTTATTCTGTTTATTAATGTTTATAACCTGCTCTTTCATCTTTTTTGGAAATGATTTGGCAGCTTAAAAAATATATAAAACAAGCTATTAAAGCAGCCTAACTTCAATGATCAGCTCTATCTCAACAAACAACAGCAAATACCAAATTCATAAATAAAAGCAATATAAACAGAAATTATAAGAAGACTGAGGCTTAGAAGGAACTATCTGCAACTATGGAGGAACTAGAAAATATCTATGCCAGAGGGAATTTTTTCAAGAATGTTAATGTCATTAGTGTCACAGCACAAGATTCTCACATCTAGCATCCTGAAAAATCATACTAGAGCTTATTTTCAGGTTAGGTCTTATTTTCGGGGGGAAAGTATACATGGAATGTGATAGTGTGAAGCAAAATGCCTCCAGTATTCATGGAGGCACTGCATGTAACTTAATCTAATTTTCCAGCATTTCAACGTACCTGGGAACCACTATTCGGACAAAAAGTTTTTAGAAGTACAGTCAGTGAGAAGGATAGCACTAGACTTTTGAGAAGGATAGCACTAGGCTAGAGGGAGAAAAAAGTGGGATTTGCGGAAACAAGAGTAGATAACAGTATAGAAATAATTTATTGTCCACAATTGTATAAAAATATATGAACTAAAGAAAGAGCTATTATATGCTACAACTAAATATAATTGTATTAAAAGGCTGAGAAGAATCTTATGTATTTATTAATCAAAGACTTCTTGATTAGTTCAGTAAAATCACATTAGAATAAGCCCATTGAATCAATGGGGATTTGGTGAGTCACCTTCTGCATAAGTTCCATTAATTCAAATGTATCTACTCTAACTGTAACTTACTGTATGACTACATAGTCAAATACCATGAGTTTTGCTCTAATAAAATGAGTGAACTTGAATTATTTTTATTGATCATATGACACAAAGTCTGATTCAAATTGTTCCAGCCTTTTTTTGCTCCCAAAGAGGCTTTTTTTTCTTCTTTTGCCACTGGTTAGCTTCTACTTTTTCAAGCCAGAATGATTACAATAGGCTTTCCCCCATGTGGTTAGTTGTGCTACATTCTTGTGAAGACATGGGAAGTGTAGGTGGTGTTTGGGTGATGTAAGCAGTTGGGATATGATGTTCACGCCCAAGGGGGACATGCAAAAGCAAGGCACGTGTGAGAAGGCCCTTTTGTTGTGAAGCAGAATCTCAATGCTATTAATTTCTTTATTGACAGGTCTGACAGTATCATTAAAATCATGTTCCCCTTTGTTACTCTTTTTCCTTAATTTCAAATAACACATGCAAGAATCTCTGGTCACATATGGTTTTAAACATTTGACATAATAATGATTGGGAAGAGGAAGGTGGTGATGTCTGTTATGGAATAATTCTGATGTGTGAATTATGATTTATCTTAGTAGTTTTCTATATTTTTAATAGAATTTTTGTTTTGAAGTAGCCTGAAGCTTTACACAAGAAAATAGCAAAATAATCAGCGCAGGCAGGCAGGCAGGCAGGCAGGCAGGCAGGCAGGCAGGCAGGCAGGAAGGAAGGAAGGAAGGAAGGAAGGAAGGAAGGGGGTGGGTGGGTTGGAATGTGACTCACAACTCCCCAGTGTGTGAGCACTTACTGTGATTTCAAACATAATACAAGGTATGAATCAAATAGCATTCTTATTTGGCTTTCCAGTGTTGTTGCACCCTTACATTGGCATAGTTAGAATAGGATCATTTAAATCAATGGAACTTATGGAGGAGGCGAATCACTAAATCTCCATTAATTTATTGGGGCCTACTCTATTACATTTTACTACACCAAACAACAGAATTTCAGCCATTAAATTTTAGATATATAATACAAAAATATTCTTTAGTTTCTTTCAACCATATCTACTCTTTGTTCAATACTAATCTGCACATGTACAAGCTTGCACATACACATGCAAATATCCTAATCATTAGCTCTTATAATACTACGAGTGTAGGAGTATGAACATCAGGAAAGATCCCAAGAGCAGTGTATTATCCAGAGGGGTGAAAAGACCCTAGTATTAGTTGTAAGGGCAGTAATAACAGCAAAAAGCACAGATTGTCACAAAAGCTAAACATGCCTATTGCCCAAAGAGATCTCAATGTCTGGAATGGAAAACGGGTTATGTCTGATTGCAACCTCCACAAAACTCAAGGCAAGGCCTTGAGAACCTATGTGTCCTAGATTTTATTTCTTGGGCACTATAAATTGACTAAATGTTGGGAAAGCCAAGTTTCAGTGTTCATTTAAATGCACAGTTTTTGTTGTTTCTTAATTATCTAGATGGAGTTGCTACAGCTTTGTATTATACTTGGAGCCTTTTTAAAACTTGCTTCCGGAATTACCTACAATATAAAAGGCAAGTTCAGCATTCCTATTATACCAGCTTGTTAATGTTTTGCCCAGATTCTGAGCATTAAATCCTGAAGCTTTACCTGGTGGTTATTTACAACACTGAACTTTGCTCAAGTTCAGTGTTGTTCCCACACAGTTTGCATTTGCTATCATTTGGAAAGGAATTCACATCGGAAATTATTTTTGTTTTGTCCAAGTAAGATACCATTTTGTTTGAATTTAAAGACTGAAATACGTATACTCAGTTTGGAAGTTCTGCATGGTAATTCCCTGCTTGGTTTGGAAATCCAGGATATTCTACAGATATGCTGCACTATAGTCTTCTTAATTATTTCAGTGGGTTCTAAGGTTATAATTATTTTATTGCTTATTATTTTCATTTATACGTTGTTCTTTTCTTCAGAGAGATTCAGAATGGCATACAACATGTAAACAATACATAAAGCAATAGAATACACCATATAAATGATAAAATGCAATCAAACCTAGCAACAATGTAAACATTAGCATACATACATACATTAGCAATATGAGCATAACAGGAATAATCCATCAATACCCTTGTTGCCACGTGTTGTACCAGTCGTAACTTCCAAGTTGTCTTCAAGGGTAGCCTCGTGTAGAGCAAATTACAGCAGTCTACTATAATGAATTTGCATGGCAACATCACCCTTCTCTAAATAAGAGAAAGCTTCTGAACCAGGGACAGATGATTAAAAGATTACTTGACCATGCTTGCCCCTGTTTCTTCCAGGAGGATCATTGAAATGTCTAAATTCCTCACTTGGTTCAAAAGTAAGCTATACTTAACAGCTACCTCTAGAAAATTAAGATTAGACACAACCCTCTCTATCCTGGCAGAAATGCTCTGCTACCAGCAGAACCCTGTTCTGTCAGATCTCAGAGGTCTGCTGGCAAAAGGAGCTGGAGGCAGAACTGCTCTGCTGATTAAGATCTGTCAGCAGAAATGGGAGTGGGGGAGATAAAACAGGGGCAGTGTGACAGAGGAGCTGAAGTACTTCATGTTCAGACCCCTTCCAGACCAGAGAGACAATTACATGACAATGTAATGACAGAGTTGAAAAAACAACTGCCATTTCTTCTGGCAATCTTAATTCCGTCTTGGGATTCCGCCAGTCCTGCCTTTCGCATCATGTATTGTGCATATAAGTTAAATAAGCCGGGGGACAATATACAGCCTTGTCGTACTCCTTTCCCAATTTTGAACCAATCAGTTGTTCCATATCCAGTTCTAACTGTTGCTTCCTGTCCCACATATAGGTTTGTCAGGAGATAGATAAGGTAGTCAGACACTCCCATTTCTTTAAGGACTTGCCATAGTTTGCTGTGGTCCACACAGTCAAAGGCTTTTGCATAGTCAATGAAGCAGAAGTAGATATTTTTCTGGCTTTCTCCATAGTCCAGCACATGTTAGCAATTTGGTCTCTAGTTTCTCTGCCCCTTCGGAATCCAGCTTGTACTTCTGGGTGTTCTCGGTCCACATACTGCTGAAGCCTACCTTGTAGAATTTTGAGCATAACCTTGCTAGCATGTGAAATGAGTGCAATTGTACGGTAGTTGGGGCATTCTTTGGCACTGCCTTTCTTTGGGATTGGGATGTAGACTGATCTTCTCCAATCCTCTGGCCACTGTTGAGTTTTCCAAACTTGCTGGCATATTGAATGTAGCACCTTAACGGAATCATCTTTTAAGATTTTAAATAGTTCAACTGGAATGTCATCACCTCCACTGGTCTTGTTGTTAGCCAGGCTTTCTAAGGCCCACTTGACTTCGCTCTCCAGGATGTCTGGCTCAAGGTCAGCAACTACATTGTCTGGGTTGTCCGGGATATCCAAAACTTTCTGATATAATTCCTCTGTGTATTTGTGCCACCTCTTCTTGATGTCTTCTGCTTCTGTTAGGTCCCTCCCATATTTGTCCTTTATCATGTTCATCTTTGCACAAAATATTCCCCTAATATCTCCAATTTTCCTGTACAGATCTCTGGTTTTTCCTTTTCTACTATTTTCCTCTATTTCTTTGCATTGTTCATTTAAGAAGGCCCTCTTGTCTCTCCTTGCTATTCTTTGGAAGTCTGCATTCAATTTTCT